GTCGCACTGCCAGGGCGCGGGGTCAGCTACACGGCCCAGCACCAGGCGGTTGCCCCACCCAGATATCCACCTCTGCCGGACGCGGGCCAGGCGCGGACCCAAGCTCAGCTGCCTCCAGTCAAACGCTACCTGTTTCGCACGTGCTGTACTGGGGTGCACAGCTGGCCAAAGACTGGGCTTTCACTAAGTGGGGACCAAGGGATGTGCTTCTTGGGGAGGGATGGAGGGAGACCCTGAAGGCTGTTAGGAGAAAGAAGGCCATCTCCAGACCCCACTTGCTCAAGAAGTAAGAGGTGGGGGCCCTGGCTTGCCCTGTGTCCTGGCCTGAGGGGTCAGCCAACAGGGGCTCCACAAAGCTTTGGTTTTCGGCTGAGATTCCAGGAGGGGAAGCTTTGGCTGGCTCATTCCTCCACCTCTCTAGCCTGCAGGATGATTCTGGCATCTGGGTGCCGGATCCTGCCCTAGACACTCCCAGGCAATGATGGCACCCACTTTACAGACAGGCAAACTAATACGGAGAGAGTGCCTGCCCTCCTCACCCAGGGCCTGGCACTTGGCCATGGGTTCCTCTTCATAACTCGAGTAAGGAACAGCTGGTCTTCGGATCCTGAATGCCCCAAGACTCATGGATGAGTTGAGGCTTCTTCTTGAAGACCAGAAGCGTTTTGGAGCACAGCACTCACAGAAGGATGGGCCAGGGCCCTGTTCTCCGGGTGCGCCTCCCTCCCCAACCCACACACAGAGACCCCACCCAGCCAGCCTGATTCTGAGTCCTGGGACTCTGACTCTGTGGCTGGGAGGAACTGCTAAGATATGGCAAGAATCTGGAAGCCAGATTCCAAAAGGTCAGGTTGGCCTGGAACCAACAAGATTACGTTTAACAGGCTGGATGTGAACCTCCATTCTTAAATTCAAAAATCAGTTGTAAAAATGCAAGCAGCTTCCCACTGGGGACGGGATGAGCCAGCAGCAGCTGTGTGCACCATTCAGGCAGGATCCTCCCCCAACGCAGCCCCCCTTGTGAATTTCCCAGAGCCCTAGCAGCTGAGCCTGGGCAGGGGGGTGCTCCCAGGATGTCTGACCCAGAACCTCTGATGTCAGGCCTGCTGGGGGAGGGGACACAGCTGGGGACGGCAGAGAAAGGGGTCCTTGTGCCACTGTTATCGGGCCCAGGCCTTCCATGAACACGGCTTTGTCCGCGCCCACACCCTGTGGTCACCACGGGACCAGGGGATGAGCAGGCCTCACAACAAGAGCTATGTGCTTTTTGGCTTTTGGGCCTAGTTAACCCTTACAAGAGTATTGGATACACAGTCTCCCAAGCCATGTGCCTGCCAACTGGTTCTGACCTCTATCCTACCTACTGCCCAGTAGATTCCTGCCTCTGCCCTAGGCCCAGCTGCAGTAGAAACCAAGCAACAGCTCCCTAGTTTTGATTCAGCTTGGGCACTGACTGACCTTCCTGGGAGTTCGTGGTCATCCAGAAGAGCAGGAGCCTACCCTGGGCTTCCACCTGTCAGCCCTGCTAGGTCCCTTCCCGGACGGGAGACAGAGGGGAACCTAGATTGAGGAGGGTGTCAGGCTGTAGCCAGACTCCAGAGCAAGCTGTGCCTTGGATCAATCTGGGAAGGCTTCCTGGAGGCAGAAAGAGACAGGGAAAATGCCTGATTTGAACAGCAGTGAGTCTGGGCTGGGAAATGGGGTCCTTAGTGATGCTAGTGGGGGCACTTAGTGATGTCAGGGGTAGCAGGGGGTGGGGTGGACTAGAGGGAGCTAGAGAACTCAGAATTCGGTAATGGTTGCTGCCCACTCTGCCTCCTGGGCCAGCGTCCAGAGGCTGAGGGAGTTCACTTGGGGTATGGCATGATGGGTAGGCTTTATTGTCTATAATTCTATATTTCTCAAATTTCCCTTTTCAAATATATTTTATAATCAGAAATGAAAGCTACCAATAAACACTACCCCAAACAAACCTGCAAGCCCAGGGGTCAGTAACTTACTCCAAGGTGGGCCCTGTACCACAGCCACAACGTTGGGAAACACTTGGGTACCCTGCTCCCGTAGTCTCATCCCTGCGTCAAAGGCCCCTTGAGTGACTGGAGGCACTAGGATGCCTCAATTTGTCCTCCTCCTCCACCAGGCCCTCAGAGAAGCCATCAGCTGCCTTCCACGTGCCTTCTGTAGCTTGGGGCCCAAAGGAGAAGTCCGTCCTACTCCCTGAAACTGGAGTACAGCCAGTGACAAAGTGGTTGTTTCCTGATCGCCCATAGGGAGGTGATTCAGTTAGGTGGGGTTCCCGGCCCCCGAGGAGGGCAGCCCAGTAACCACCAGTGTGCTGTGACAGAGCAGAGGCATAGGGCAGCCAGTAAGGGCAGAGCATGTACAGCCTGCTTCCCCAGGCAAGGCCAGGCTCCCTTGCAAGCCCTGTACCACACACAGTTGTGCCATGATCCCACTGTGCGGTGTCACAGAGCATCCCCTCTCCATGCCTGCCCTGGGGTGGCTGTGGCTGGTGGCAGCTCGGCCCCTCCCTACCCCTGGAGGTGTCTGGCGAGGGGTGGGGAGTGGCCACTAGGAGTTTACGGCTTAGCATTCCCAGGGGCTGGGGTTGCCCCGTGTGTGGACAGTGCAGACCTAGGACCCTCACACTTCAGGGAAGGCAGGCAAGGTTCCCCAAGCCAGAGTCCAGGAGGGAACCAGCAGGGAAAGGGCAAGAGTCTCACTCGGGGCACAGGAGGCCCCAGCCCAACCCAGAGGGCTCATCCATGACATTCTCTGCCTAGCACTTCCTTGGTAGGAACGATCGTCCTGTTTATCCAGGGCCCTGGCCAGGCCCCACCAGTCACCTTGTCAGCAGTTCCTTCTCAGGCCATCAGTGCCTTGTTCTGAGCTCAAAGACCCCAGCTAAACTCCACGACTGCAAGCAGCAGCATCCCAGATGGGGAACCCCACCACAGGGGGTTGGGTGGTGACCCTCCCAACAGAGGTGTGCACCTGGAACTGGAGAATAGGACTAATTAGGGCAGAGCGTCTCTGCAGATATATTGAGGTAGGTGGCGTGAGTTCACTCAGGATTTAGGGTGGCCCCAACATCTGATGACAGGAGTCCTTGTGAGAGAGGTGAGGCGGTCGTGCTGACCACTTGGGATTCTGCCGTCCAGAACTCTGAGAGAATAAACTACTGTTTTAAGCCTGTAGTTTGTGGTTCTTTTTTATGACAGCCCCAGGCCACTGACTCACCTTGGGTGGAAAGTGTGGGTATGTGTCCCTCAAAAGATCCAGGGGGATAGGACGAGGGACAGAGGGAAAGCCTCAGGCTGCAAAGGGCATGGCTACCAACCTGTCAGGGACAGATGAGGGTCCCAGGACCTGCTCAGAGGGATGAGGAGGAAGAACATAAATCCTAGGAGAATTAGGAGACTGTCAGGTTGGAATTGGGAGCGGTTCAAACCTACTTCAGGCAGAAATTTTTCTCTGTGGAGAAAAGGCCAGGAAGCTGGCCCACAGGAAGCCTCACCTGGACGCCGGGAGCCAGCCAGGTCTGTCACCACAGGCCACATCTCAAGCCCGCAGGCAGCTTGTCACTGGGTGAGCACAGTGGCTGTGGGGCGGCTGGGGCCTCTGCCAAGCACCCCTTTCTCTCCTGCTGGGCTACAAAGAAGGATGTTGAGGCTGAGAGGGGTGAGGAGCTGGTGGAATTCACCCTGGCCTGTCACCTGAGCCTCCCTTGCTCTTAAATCACCAACTTCCCTAGCTGAACAGGGACGCTATGTGCCTCTTTCTTCTTTCTGGACAGGGGAGATGCTGAGTTTGCTCTTCGAGGGCAGAGATCAGAATGATCACTTCTAGGGCCACTCTGGCTGGAGAGCCCAGCGCCACCTTCTTCAATAGAAGGAAACCAGGGATCCAGGGTTCCCTTTATATCCCAAAACATTTCTGTGCACTCAAGAGTCAGTTGCCCAGGGCTGTCAGCTGGCCTAGATTGGGATGTAGAGTAACTGCCTCTCCTACCCTGGTGCCCAAACAGGTAGAGTGACTTGTCCTTCATCACACAACCCTCAAGGACAGCTAGCTTCCGTTGTCCTAACTGTTCTGCCTCCTTTTTTCAAATCCAGCTGTCAGGATAGGGCACAGCCAGCCACACATGCTGGGCTCCAGGACGGAGTCCCAGTCTCTTCGACCTACCCAAGTGCCACAAAGGGCATTTCTCACCTGGCCACATATAGCTCGGGTCTCTTTCCCTGCCTGGCTCTCCCACTCCCACCTCCCACTCATCCACACCTTCCTGATCAGCACCAGTGCCCAGCTGGATGGATCCAGAAGGGGAGGAAGCCCCCTGCTCCTTCTGGAACAAGCAGGCTCGTTGGGGGCTGCACAAGGGACCCAGGATACTGCCCACACTGGGAGCTAACCCTCTCCTGTGGGCAGGCACCTGTTGGGTGTGACTGGGGCTCAAGCTCCTGTTCCCCTCTCCTGCCTTCCCTCTGTCCCCACTGAGAAGTCTTCTACCAACAGGATACGAGGCCTGTCCCACCTGCACCAGGACCCACTCTGGCTCCCTGGACCCCCTTGTTCCTTCCAGCTCCCTGATTTTGCCTGAAGATCCCCCCAGAGCCTCTTAATTTCTGGCCTAGCCTGATCAAGGGCCCCACCTCCAGAGACCCAGCCCTGTCTCCTGGATTTCCTCTCCGAGTCTCCCCT